GGAAAAGAGGGCTTCATGCGTGCTAGGCAAGTGCTCCACCACCAAGCCACACTCCCAGACCCAAAACTTTTTAAAATTGAAGTATAACACACATAAAGAAAAATACTCAAGACAAAAATGCAGAGTTCTCAACTAATCATTCCTAAGTAACCACTCATGTAATCAGTACTGAAATAAAAAAATCAGAACATTTCCAGCATGCCAGAAAGTCTTTTAGGGCCTCATACTCAGTCCCTCAACAGTAATCAATATTCTGATTTATTTCACCATAGATTAGCTTTGTCTGTTTTAGAACTTTATACATGGAATCATATAGCATGTATTTTTTTGAGTCTGGTTTATTCTGCTCCACATAATGTTTGAGGGATTCATCCATATTATTGTATGCAGTACAATGGGTCATTTCTTCTAGTTGATGTGTAGTATTCCATTATGTGAATATACCACAATTTATCATTCTCCTGTTGATAGCATTTGGATTGTTTCCAATTTGTGCTGTTACAAATGGTGGCTTTATGATATTATTATATTTTTTTAGTTAGCATATCCAGTCCTGTGTGATTTAATGACAGGATTAAATTCTAAGAGAAGCCTGGTGCAATAGTGCATTCCTGTAATCCCAGACACTCAGGAGGCTGAGGCAGGAGAACCTCAAGTTCAAGGCCAGCCTCAGCAACTTAGCAAGGCCCTAAGCAACTTAGTGAGATCCTGTCTCAAAATAAAAAATAAAAAGGGCTGGGGATGTAGCTCAGTGATTATATGTCCCTAGGTTCAATCCCCAGTACCAAAACCAAAAACACACACACAAAAAAAAAAAAAACAAAACAAGAAAACATAAGAAAATGTTTTATAAAGTTCTAAGAGATGCATTAGACAATTTTGTTATTGGATAAACGAAGATGGCTATGATGTCACTGGGCAATTGTATATGTAGTCAGTTGTTGACAGCACATGACTGTACAAGCATTTCTGACAGGCCCATACCTAAAAGTAGAATTGTTAGGTTATGAATTGTGCATATGGTCCCCTTTAGTAAATACTGGTAAGCAGTTTTAAAAGTGGTAATATCAATTTATATTTTCATCAGCACTGTGTGAGAATTTTATTCATTCTATATTCTCACCAATATTTTGTATTGTCTTTTTATTTATGGCAATTCTAGTGGGTTGGGGAGGGTTTGTTCATTTTGTTTTGTGTAGTGCTAGGGATGAAACCAGGGCTTCACACATGTCAAGCAAGTGCTCTACCACTGAACTATACCACTAACTCCAATTTTAGACTACCAGTGAGGTTGAGCACATTTTCTTAAGTTGTATATTCTATTTTGTAAGGTCTCTGTTCAAGTGTTTTGACTGTTATTCTATTGGGTTATCAGTCTTTTCTTATTGATTGGTAAGAGTTCTTCAGATATTCCAGATATGCATCTTTTATTGGATATATGTGCAAATATTTTCTCCCATTCTGTAACTTACCTTTTTATTCTCTTAATGCTACATTTTGAGGGACAAAAGTCTTAAATTTTAATGTAATTTAATGTGTTGATCCTTTATTTTATGGTAGGTAACTCCTTCCTGTCTTGAGTCTTTTCTCACCCCATTTTATACAGATATTCTCCTATGTCATATTTTTAAAAGCTTTATTGTCTTGCCTTTTATATTTTTCTCAATATTTAGCAAATTGATTTAGGGATGTTTGTGTGAGGCAGGGATCAAGATACATTTTATGGGCTGGGATTGTGGCTCAGTGGTAGAGTGTTCGCCTAGCACGTGTGCGGCCCTGGGTTCAATCCTCAGCGCCACATAAAAATAAATAAATAAAGGTATTGTGTCCAACTACAACTAAAAAATAAATATTTCTTAAAAAGATACATTTTATGTGAATATCCAACTAATCTGAAAACACTTATTGAGAAGACTGACCTTGCCAATTTTGAAGAGCCAACTTTATCATAAATCAAGTGACTTAGTTCACTTACTGAACTCTATTGTCTTCCATTAGTCTATTTATTTATCCTTGCAGCAAAACTGCCCTATTGGTAGCTTCATAAGTCTTAGTAGCTGGTAGAGGAAACCTTCTCTTGTTTTGACTATTCTTTGCCTTTTGCAATACTAAAGAAAAATTACAATTGGCTTATCAAATCACACATGCACATACACACAAATATGTTGGGATTTTCATTAGAATTTCAACAACTGTATTACTTTTGGAAGCTTGTATATCATTCTTGAACATAGCATATTGCTCCATTTATTTAAGTTGTCTTTAATTTTTCAATGATGTTTTATAATTTGCTGTATATAGGTCTTGCACATTTTTCATTAGTTTTATTACTAGATATTTGGTAGGTTTTGATGCTCATATAAATGATGTCTTCTTTTCTCAATTTTTCTCTTTATTACTGGTATACAGAAAATACTGGTTTCTTTTCTTTGTGGTGCTGGGGATCAAACCCAGGGCCCTGTGCATGCTAGACAAGTACTCTATACTCCCAGTCCTAAAGAACTAACTTTTTATATTGATCCGTGTCTCACAACCCTGACAAATTTACTTATTATAAGTAAATTTTTATGTAACCTTTTCTATTTTCTATACACAAAAATCACATCATCTATAAATATTTGTATATTTATCTTTCCTTTCTAATCCTGTATCTTTTATTTGTCTTGCTTTAATGCACTGAGCAGGACCTCCAGCACAATTTGAATGAAAAGACTATAGTGGGCATCCTTGTTTTATTCCCAACTTAGAAAACATTCAACATTTTCCTGTTAGGTATGATATTTACTACAGCTTTAAAAGTAATTTCCCTTATGTTCTTAGCAAACTTATGCTTGCTAATTTTTTTTTGTCATGTTGGGTTTCTTTACTTTTTTTTTTTGCATCTGTTCAAACAATCACATGATTTTTCTCCAATCCCTCGAGAGATTTGTGTAAAATTAGAAAATTAGTGGTCTTTTTTTTTTCTTTAAATGCTTTGTAGAATTTACTATTTATGGTATCTGGGCCTGGAGGATTCTTCGTAGAAAGCTTTTTAATTATAAATTCAACTTATTTAATAGTTATAGGATTGCTCGGAGTCTATTTTTTTTTTAATGTGTGAGTTATAGTGAACTGCATTTTTCCAGGAATTTTTAAGTTGTATTGAAATTTTCAAATTTGCTAGTATAAAGTTCTTTCTAATACCATCTTATTAAATTGTAATGTCTCTGTGACCTGTACTGTAGTGCCCCCATTTGTTCCTGATACTTTTTTTAATGTGCCTTCTGTATTTCTTTTCTAAATAAGTCTCAGGGATCATTTTCTAGATTTTTAGAACCAACTTTTAGTTTTATCGATCCTTTCTGTTATTGTTCTAGTTTGTATTCATTGACCTCTGTCTTATCCCTATTATGACCTTCCAAATAAAATTTGCTAATTTTTCGAATTTCTTGAGATGTATTTCCAGCCATTCTTTTAAAATAATATATAAATTTAAAGCTATAAGTTTCTCCTGAAACACAGACCTAGTGGCATCCCTCAGAATTTCAGATATATTTTTTTTCAGAGACAGACAAGTGTTTATTTAAGAAAGCAGAGACACATGGGGGTGGGGAATGGGCTATCTTGAGAGTGAGAAGCCTTCAGATATATTATTTTCATTATTGGTCAATCCAAAATATTTTCTAATTTCCATTATGGAGTTTTCTTTTTCTTTTTTTAAAGAGAGAGTGAGAGAGACAGAATTTTTTAATATTTATTTTTTAGTTTTCGGAGGACACAACATCTTTGTTTGTATGTGGTGCTGAGGATCGAACCCAATCGCGCTACCGCTTAAGCCACATCCCCAACCCTGGAGTTTTTTTTTATCCAGGGGTTTTCTCCTTCTCCAAATCATGGTGCCAAACTTCAGTGGGCATAAAAAATTAACCATCTGAATGGCTTGTCAAAATATAAAATTTCGAGTCCCATTTCAAACCTACCAGATTAGTATTTCTATAAAGAGGGCCTGAGAATTCACATTTCATAAGTCCTCTAGCAGATTGAGATGCAGGTGTTTGCCTTCCTGGCACACAGTTTGGTGGCAGAGACTGGGTTTTCTAAGGGCAGGGAGCAAGTTCATTTCACCCGAATCATCAGGGCCCAGCACTGGACCCATGTAAAACTGTGTTTAAGAACCGAATGAGCCAATATATGAAGGAAGAAAGGAAATAAATTTCTTATACAAAGATAATTAGAATTCTGGAATGCTAAATTCAAGCAGCATCATTTGGTCCCAGTTTAATCCCATTTGGATCAGAAATAGTTTTTCCTTGTCTTCCCTTCCTTTTCTGGTCTGCCCACCAGGCTTTCTCTTCACCTGTCCCATTATGCCTTCCCAGAACATGGCCTTAGTATGGGTTCATGCCTGTCTACTTGCCTAAGGAAAACAGGGATTAATCAGAGCTGGGCACACGTGCTTCTCCCTGAGCTCCCCCTCCCCCACCACCCATCTCCTGGACCTGTCCATAGAACCCCACTCTAAATAAATTATTTATCCTACCTCTCAGAGACCTAAGCACACCTCCCAACCCAGAGATTTTGAAAAACTTCAACCGGACCTTTGTCCAGACCCCAGACACTCCTATTCCCTGCCTCCTTTGCACCTGTAACCCATGTGAGTGGCTCTCTCAGCAGCTCCTTCGCCACCTCTACCTGCCTCCATGCATGCCTCTCTGGAGCATCTCAGAAAGGCCTGAGCCTGACTTCCTCAGCCAGCTATTGTCCTGGCAGCACAACCGCCACGCCAGCATCCCCACCCAGCCAGCCAGCCAGCCAGCCAGCCGGCTGTTCCCCTGCCTCACCAGCCCCCCCTCCCCGCCCCGCCCTAGGGAGGACCAGGCTGGTGGTTGGGAGTCTCCCTGCCTGCTCAGCCTCCCTCCTTTCCTCTCTCTCCCTCCCTCCTCCACCCGCCCCTGAGGCAGGGACCGTGCAAATCGAGGAGAGGGGGGACAGACAAGCCGGATGGGGTCTAGCTTAGGGCTTTGGACTCCCCACTGTTACCCTATCCATGCTGGGTATCCCCAGCATCTTAGGAACTAGATTTGTATTAGCTGGGGTGATTCCCAAGCCAGGAAGTTCCTTCCGGCAGGCCTGTAGTGCCCTCGTCTTACATTAGGACCCCCCTCGGATACTCTGAGCCACCCTCCTCAACCCGGATCTAAAACCCGGGACACAGCTATCAGGCCAGCCTCTCTCTCTCCACCCCACCCCCTCTTTCTGGCGTCCATCCCCTCCCCAACACCACCTCTGCTGCTGCCTCTGGCTGTGGACCTGCACCTCTTCCCCATCCCCGCCAGGCCCGGGGAGAGGGGTGAGCCTGGATGAGAGCCCCCCAACCTGGGGCTCTCTCAGGCCATGGCCCCCGTGCTCCCGGGGAGGAGCCCAAGACCCTGAGCATCTGCTAGAGGCTTGGCAGAGGCCCCGCGGGGACCGAGTCTTCTGAGGACAAAAGGCGGCGGCCAGCAGGCAGACGGGGGCGGGGTACCGGCAGCCAGGCAAGTAGGCGGGTAGCAGGGGCCAGCGCTGGCCCCCCCTCCCAGCCTGGCTGTGGCATGAAGATGAAGATGGGGGTGGGAGTGTGTAGTGGGGGAAGCACCTGCTGGGACCCCCACCTGCCAGCTTGTTGGGCACCCCATGTCTGTATGCTGCCCACCTGGTGTTCCCCAACACCCCAGCCCTGCCCAGTGCACCCCTCCGGTGCCTGCTTCCCCTAATGCCTGCGATTTAGACCAGCCCATCTGTATCCACGGCAACAGAAGCAGAAGTGTCACTGGCCGCCAGATCACTGAGGGTCCCACAATGTGGCCTGGGCTGTGATTTATCCTGGGCGAGACAGCTTGAGCCCCTTCCTGGATTCCAAGACAGACCTGCTGAGAGAGTCCAGGTAAGCAGTCGGCATCTCTTTATCAAGGATGGGGGGCTGGGACTTCTTTTCTGTCTCCCCACACATTTCAGAATCTCCATCACTGCCATGCTCCTTGTCTCTCTCTCTCTCTCTCTCTCTCTCTCTCTCTCTCTCTCTCTCTCTCTCTCTCTCTGACTCTTTAGTCTCTCTCTTTCTGCTCCATCACAGGGACTACTAGAGCACCCAAGCTTGGAGACTCCTCATCTTTCTCCATCTTTCCCCAGTCCCAAATGTCCCATGAGAAAGGGAACCACCACCTGTTTCCCCACATAGGGTCTGTTTTTTATCATTATGGTCGTGTTTGTTTGGGCATGAGGCTGTGTTAATTCCTTGTGTGCTAGCTATAGAAGGGATGCCTGGGAGCCTGGCTGTGTTCCCCTCACAATGCCTGCAGCTGCTTCCTCTCCCTCTCCCTCCTCCTTCACCCTCCTCCAGGTTCCTTGGCCTGTTTGCAGGATGTGTGTGTGTCCATGTCCGTGTGAGTGTGTTTGTGTATGAGAGAGAGAGAGCACCTGTGTAGCAAGCAGGTGGGTACATATGACAGGGAAGCTGCACCTAGTCCAGACCACCCCCTGCTCCTTTTTTGCCTTTTCTTCTTTCCTTCCCATATTTCCCCACAGGTAGCACAGACTTTTGCTCATTCACTATGGAAAATATGTGATTCCCACATAGGGGGAGGAAGATGCTGTAGGGATAAAGGAAGGTGAGGTGGGGGTAGGGAGTACTTCCAGGCCCTAGACTGCCTGAAGGCTCTCAGGGGGCAAGGAACAATCCACATGGTGACCTGCAGTGACCAGGCACAACATGGTCATTCCCACATTGTGGGCCTCAGCCTCCATCATATGGCTCTATCTCTGTTTCAGATACCCATGTTGTGTTTGGGACCTCCAGATCTTATGGCCTTCTACATGGTGGCCAGCAGTCCCTATATATTGAGGGCAGGAAAACTGGTACATGGAGAACATGGATTCTACCAGGGACACATCCCTCAACTGCTAGCTCTGCAACTTTAGTAGAAGCATGCCACTTACTGAACCTCAGTTTTCCCATCTGTCAAAGATACTGGTAACCTTTCCTTCATGGTGTGTGAAGGGATTAAATGTGTTGGTGCATAAAAATAAAGGATATGCATAGAGGTGGCACTGAAGCAATGTCAACCAAGCTCATGGTCAATATCATTGCTGATTGTTCATGATTAATATTGCTATTGATTATTTTGGGGAAGAGCTAATACTTGTCCAGGGTCTCAATAGAGATCTTGGGAAGGCAGCAGGTGGGCAAATGGAAGGATGGGAAGTGGGAGGAGGCAGGAGCTACCTATGTTGTTACTTATCATTTGTAGGGAATGGTAAGTGATAGTTGTAGGCAGAGCCTTCCATCCCCACCCTTTCCTGCACTTTCCCCTGTTTGTGTGCACAAACACACACACAATCTTGAGCCCCCATGATCCAGCAAAGGCCTGGCTTGCAGCCTGCAGCATCCCTGGCCCTAGTGATGTATGCGTCTCCCTGTTGAGGGGAGACTTGGCAAGAGTTTGGCCTATGGTCAATGTTTGGCAGGGCCTGGAGATGAGGCTGAAGCTTTTTGAGATCGCAGGGCTTCTGGTAGAGCTGGGGTGTGGCCCATGCAGCAACCAGACCCATTGGGAACGGATCCCAGGGAGTTGCTCACCTAGAGCCTGGGGTGGGGGGGGGAAGTGTGGTCTGCTGGTTGGTTTCTGGGTGTGAGAACACTGAGCAAGAGGTCGGGGGCCAGGGGAGGAGCAAGAGGAGGAGAAAGACTGAGGCCCAGAAGATCTCCTCTGTGGGAGCAGGGAGATCTGGGGTCTTGAAGCATAGGGTAGACTTTTCTAAAAAAGCATTTGGTGTGGAAAGGAGAGAACCCAGCCTGTGTCTGGAGGCATCTGACCTGAGTGTGGGTGCATATGTGCAACTGAAAACATGTGGCTATGTATGTAGTCTGTGTGTATGTGCATGTCAGTTCGTGGGGACTGTGGGTGTATATGAGTCTCTGTGTGTGAGCAGGCCATGTGACAGCATGTGGGAGTGTGTGGGTGTCTGGGTCAGGCTTGTGTTTGTACAGGGGGCTGGGTATGACTTTGCATGTCTGTCTGGGTGAGGGAATGGGCATGTTTGATTCTGACCTGAGTGTGGGTGTGTTTCTCTGAGCCTATAGGCCTGTTGAATGTCTGGTTGTACCTTTGGTTATATGTGTATGAGTGTGTACATGTCTGGTTATATGTCTTATGAGTATGTGGATTTCAGAATGCTTAAGTATGCATGTCCAATTAGGTGGATTCTTAGTTGTATGTACATTCATCTCTGCCCACAAGTCCCTTTGAGTGTGAGTACATCAAAATGGTGTGTTTGTGAGTGTAAAGAAATATATGTGTCTGGCCATGCATGTAGGAGAGGGTGTGTATATGTGTGAACATGCTTGTGTGTCATGTGGGTGTGTCTGTAATGTATTTGTGTGAGTATGTCTATGTGTGAGTGTCTATGTGGATTCTCTATCATTTTTAATTATGTGTATATCTTTGTGTACATGTTTGAGTGCACACTATCTATAGACAAACCTATGATTTCATATATAATTAGGAAATGTAAGCATAGATGGGCACACTAGTATAAAGAGAACTGATTTTGTGAGTATGGGATATTATATGAATAAAAATATACTTTGTGGGTATGCCTGTATATGCACAGTGGACTATGTATATGAGTATGGCTGTGGGGGGTATATACCAGTACATATTATACATATGCAAACACACAAGGCTGTGTGTGTAAATAAGTGGATGCATTTGTGTATATGCCTAATTGTGTTTGTGTATACACCATGTGTGAGTACATATATAATTGTGATATGCGTGAGTAACTACATTTCATAATACTTGGGCATTCGTGTCTCATGTGTTTTGTTTGAATTTCTGAGTATGAGTGTTATGTGAGTATATGTTTGAATATGCTTGTGAGTGATTGTGCATGTATATGTGGGTGTATATGCTAATATGTATGAACACATGACTGCATGCATTTGAGTGAACATATCCATATATATATATATATATATATGCTTGTATGTTCATGCACATCTAGTTGTGTATGTGAAGATGTCTGTGTGTGTGTGTGCCTGTCTGAATGTACATGTGTGTGAGTGTACCAGTTTGTACAGTTCTAATTATTTGTATTCGTGTGTTTGTGTATCTTTGTTCTGGAGCATATGCTGCAGAACAATGTAAGTTAATGTATGTACATGCCACTATAAGAGTGTTTGAGTGTGTATGTATATATGAGGATGTCTTTGCAGGTGTGTTTCTATAGGTGTGGATAAATTCTTCTTGTGTAGATGAATAGTTGTGTGTGCAAAAATATGTGAATATACTTCCATGTGTGCATGTGTGGAAACATACCTTTGTATCTAAGTCTGTCTGTGGGAATGTGGATACAAATGATTCTGCTCTCATTTGTATGGTCTTATTTCGGGTGTGTGAATTTACATGGTGTGCATATCTGGCTATGATAGTGTAAGTATATTTTTTGTTTCAATATCTGTCTGCATATAGGAATGAATTAGTGTACAAGTTTATGTGCATATGAATATGCTCATAAGTATATATGCTCACACATAGACTTGCATACAAGTTTATGTGTTAGAATGGCTATATATGTATCATCATCTCATTTATAATCATGCATATATCTGGGTATTTATGTTGTGAGCACACCCACACAGGTGTGTGTGTGTGTATGTGTGTGCATAAATACAATTATGTAGTTATCTGACAATGTGTATCTGATGTTTCTTTGTCATTTCCTTAGGTTGTGATACAGTTAGCTTGTCCGTGGGCATGTGAAAGTATACCTGCATGTATACCTGTATTTTTGGATGAATATATATCATTCATGTACATCATGTTGCATGAATGTATGTCACATATATGCCTGTGTTTAAGAGTAAATGTGTGTGGGCTGGAGTTGTAGCTCAGTGGTAGAGCGCTTGTCTAGCACATGTGAGGCACTGGGTTCAATCCTGAGCACCACATAAAAATAAATAAAATAAAGGTGTCCATCTGCAACTAAATTTTAAAAAAAAGAATAAATGTGTGAGCTGATACAGTGTGAGTATGCTTTGACATGTGAGTATGTGTATGGAAGAGTGAAGTTATTTGTGCATGTGCCCATCTGATGGTGCATATGAAGGAAATTTGGCTTGGTCCTGTGTAGATAGGACTTATCACTGAGAGGGTGATAAAGAAGGTTCTTATGAATTTATGGGACTCCATGTGCACCTTAGCTTACGCTTATATGCAAGTCTGAGAGTCAGTGGTGCCCCAGTAGACCAGATTTGTTTATAATTGTGAATTGGCAAGCTATGACACTTAAGCCATCCATGACCCCACTTCTGGGTCTGGGGCTTTTCTTGCCTTGACTATATACTAGGTTTTGTGTCCTCTTATTATTCACATCCCAAAAGTAGGAACCAATCATGACTGATATCCTACTGGGAGAAGGAGGCCTATGAACTCTTTAAAAAAGGATTCCTTGAAACACAAAGATCTCTCTTCCCATCCCTGCTCCATCAAAGGCTCATGGCAGAATGGCATTGTATATAGTGTCTTGGGTTGGTAAATAGTTTTCATAGCACCTAAATTACACCATCCTGGCAGAAATCTAAATGTGAATGTATATATTTAAGTGAAGATATATCAGTAGAGTACATGTGTGTGTGTGTGTGTGTGTGTGTGTGTATAGTGTGGGTTGTGTGTATGTAAGGGAGAGTGTTGCTGTTTGTAAGTAAGGTGTACATGTGAAATATTTAGGTGTATTTTGGAGGGAAGGGGTGGGTGTGGGTGTATGTAAATTGGCCTGTTTGAGTGGAGGATGGTGAATGAGAGTTTGGGTTTGGCTGGGTGGAATATGTGTGAGGATGAGTATATTTGAGGGGCATATGAGTATGGGTGTATCTGGATGTGCAGG